CAACAGTGTCTTGCCAATGGGTTTCAGCCCCGGGCAAGTTCACTATGGATTCAATGTGACCAAAGAAATGACAGTAAAACATTCTTGGGGTGAAAGGATTATACCCAACTTTATTTCCACAGTGGCAGATCAATAACTAAAATCCCATTCACTCAGAGTGAGTCTGCATGCAGCAAGCTGGTCTCTGCCTCTGGGCCCCTCTACCCACACAGCCGTCCTTGGTGCTGCCACCACTCCAGCCTCTGCTCTGCTCTCCTGCAGCCTACCAGCCATGCCACCGTGTCACCCAGAGCACTGGGCGGAGCTCTTTATATAGAGTCAATAGCAATGTATTGCCCACATGTGTGTAGTGAGCTAGCCAACCAGGGCCAGATGAGAATCCTAGCCACAGGAACTTTCATTTTATTCACACATAAATATCTCTGAACCTATCCATTTCTATCTATCTTTTTTTGCCCTTTCACATACTTGCCTATTCTACTTGGTCTTCATAATGTTGGGAACCGGTTGTCTCCAGCCATCTGTTGTTTATCATCCACTCCTAAGTGGAATAGTCAGCACTGATATGACTGTCTCAAAGTAAACTGTTGACTTAATGGGTTAGGTCCTTGTGCTCACTGCATTTCTGTTTGTTGAATGAGGCACTTAATCTGTCATGTTAAGATTGTGTGATGAAACCAGCCTGAGGTGCTGCTCCTAAATAGAAAGTTTCCAGGCTTTTCATTTAAACATCTTCTTTTTCTACTCTCTGCAAAGAACTTGAGGCATTAAGTATTAGATTTGGCAAGGGCACTAAACCTTCTTCTGATGTTCTGTTTATAACCCTAGAGTTTTGTTACACCTGTAAGCTTTTGACAGATCTTTGGTGCCTTAAAGAAAAATAGGTAAATTCCAGGCAGATCCAGTCCCTGCAATCAATCCATCCTTCCACTGGCATTTTATGTGTCATCTTCCACAGCAGCTTAAGATAGGTAAAACTTACCTTCACCACTTTTAAAAAGATTCTATTTTTAAATAGAATCTTGTTAAATAGAATCTTTTATGTCTCAGAAAAAAATAGAGGTCACTCAAGCAGGAACTTCCACCTTTTCCTGCTGTTGTCTCTGAATGCTTAAGAGCTTTGGGTTCTTGGTCTACCAATAACTAGCAGTGTAACTTCAAAAAAGTTACTTAATATTTTCTCTCTGCTTCTTCATCTGGAAAATGGAAGTAATTATAGCATTTAACTTATTGTATTGTTGTGGTAATAAATTAGTTCAATATTTACTGATCACCTACTATGTGCCAAGGCACTATTCTACGTGCTTGGGGTCCATCCTCTTTGTTTCCCTAACTCAGTAACTAATTAAGCTAGAAACCTGGAGCCACTGTCTCACATCAAGTTGATTACCAAGAGCTTTTAATTTTACATCATATTTGTTTCCTAAATCTGCATTCTCCTTTTCAGATAACTTTGAAAATATATAATTATATTAAATTTCACACTTAAGTTTCTTAACCATAATAGTCTCCTAACTGCTTTCTCTGTCACCCTTCCCATCTCCATCCACCACACTCATGCAAGAGAGGTTTGTTTCTAAAATTACAGGTTTAAAGATATAGATCTGAAATTGCAGTTGAGACTCCTTATCAGTTAATTATTACTGAACAAGAGCCCTCTCCACAACTTAGTGGCTTAAAGCAACAATTATTTATTATTTCTCAGTATTCTGGGTGTTGGCTGGGTGGTTCCTCTGCTGGTTTTGCCTGGGTTCACTAATGTGACTATATTTGGTAAAGGATGATGTGGGCTGAAAGGTCTAAGATGGTCTTACTCACATATCTGACGGTTGGTACTGGTTTTCAATTGGGGCATCTCAATTCCCCTCCACATGGCCTCTCACATACTCCAGTAGAATAGATGAGCTTCCTTACATGGGGATCTCAAGACTGCATTCCAAGAGGGAGAAGGTAGAAGAAGCTTTGAGGTCCTTTGAGGCCTAGGTTCCAGAACTTGTACAGCTTAAATTCTGCTACATTCTGTTGGTCAAAGCATGTCACAGGACAGCATAGATTTAAGTAGTGGTAAAATAGACTCTACCTTTTTTAGGACCAGCTGCAAAGAATTGAATTTATGACCTTATTATTTATACTTTCTCCTGATGACTTTTAGGATAAATTCCAAACACCCTACCTCAGCTTGGTACATAAAGCTTTTTAACTCTGGCCTGATTTCTTGCAACATTTAGAATTGTTATTCCCTAACCATGCTGTGTACTATCCTGCTTCCATGCTCTTATACTTGTTGTTCCTTCCATAGTTATTGCTTGGTATATGGGTGGCATAATCTACTTTCATGTCAGTTTTTGGTGACTTAGACTGGTTTCCAAGTCTTTACTACAAATCCATGGTAACTATTCTTGAGCGCAAATCTTTGTGTATATCTTTATTTTCTCAGGGAAAAAAAATCTTAAATGTAGAATTACTTATTGAGTCAAATACGATAAAGTTTTTTTTAAGACTTTTGATATTTAACACCAAACTATTTTTTTCAGAAAGGTTCCAGTTTATATTATAGCAGCAAACTAGAGAGAGCCCAACTAACTAAAGAGCAAACAAGAGATACCTAATACCTCCATATAAAAAGTGTATTTTGTATTTCTTAACTACTAGCTTATGTCCTCCTATTTATTAAAAGTTTACTACCTTAATTGGCTTGTGTATTTTATGAGCTATTTTGATTAATAGCAGTCTAATTAGCAGACAGAGGAGCACTCTTTAATCAGAGCCATTTGTTAACCTGGAACAGTGAGAGGATCCATACATACTCTCTATTGATCAGAAATGCTTTCTCTCTTGGGAATAATTACTACAAATTATCATTTTTATATAAGCGTTGTAAAAAGGGGGTAGAAATTTGAAAAGAGGTAAAAAAAATGGAAAGACAATACTATAAAATTTAATGATAAATTGGCAGAACATATATTGAGAAAATAAGAATTTTCCATCAAGTCTTCTAGATATGGATCTGCCTGATCTTTAGCCATTAAGAAAAAGCATAGTTATGTGAGGTCAAAAAAGATCCAAGAGCAGGTTGTTAAGGTTATTATAGTTTTATGACTTACAACAAGGAGACCCAGCTGGGTCTCCCTTTGTACAACATCTTGTTCTATTTTCTGTTCATTAGTATTGTTTCAAAATCTCATTTGTCAGAAGGGCCTTCTTTACCCTTGTAAAGAACATCATTTTGGAAGTTGTAAAATATAAGGTCTTTAGCAGTGTCAGTAGGTCTGTGTCACTGAATAATTTATTTAAATCTTTGATGATTACTAATAATACTTACACTTTAAAAAATTATGAGTACTTCTTTTATTTGTAAAATGGAATAATCTCTGTCTCTGCTTGGGAATATCTTCTAATTTTAGATTAAAAGCATCTATTATCAATATATTACATACTTAATAAGGTCATTTCTCTTTTGTCTTTGAAGTTCTGCAGGGACAGATTGTCCAGTTCAAACTCTCAGACATTGGAGAAGGAATTAGAGAAGTAACTGTTAAAGAATGGTAAGTTATCCTGAAATTTTTTGACTTAATAAAAAATTATTTCGATAAAAATCAGTAGGTATCTATTTACATTGAGAAACTTCTTTCTGTAACATAATAATGTTTTTTTAAACCAATAAGGTATAACTGGTTTATGTTGCCAATATGCTGGTGACACAATTCATCATACATCGTGGCATCTTATTCATTATAATATATTAAGAATTATTTTTCTTCTTAAAAACTTTTTCACTGCCCACCCCTCACATCAGCTAAAAAAGAGAAATTAGGCTGTAAAAGACATTAACCTGATATGACTATGTGTTTTGAAAAGCATTTATTATTTATGAACTTCAAACTATCTTAAAATCTTCATGTGATCTAAGCTGTCTATTTGACTGAAAATGACTTTAGTAAAAATCCAAGTACATTTGACTCACCATTACTTGAAATTTGCCTATATTTTTAGATAAGGTTAAAATATAACACCAAAAGATATGAATCAAAAAATAGTTTTTATAAAGATTAAAAAATGTTCAATGGAGGCTTGAAACAAAAATAAAAAGCTCTTTACTGCTTTGGCCATCTTTCTGTCCCTTTTCTGGAAGAAAAGAGTCATGTCTGGGTACTGAACTAATTTTTAAAAGTTTCTAGAAGTAGCAATTAAGATGAGAAAATAGATTCTCTCCACCATAGTTTTAACAGTATTAAAGAACCTTTTAACAATATGATTCAGCTATCTGAGCATTCTTTCCTACAGTTTCATTATTGCTTTGTAAGTTAGAAAAGAACGGTAATAACATAAATATGCCTTAGTCTCATTGTTGGATTAAGGAAAGAGCAAGGGACTTTAAATCAGCAGAGACTGACTCTGAAACTTAGCGGTCTTACCCTTGACTCACTTGGTCCCTACCTAATGTGTAAAATGAGGGTAACACTACTTATTCTGCCATCTCACATGGGGTAGTGAAAGGATCAACTAATGTACTATATAGAAACTGCCTTTAAATTCTACAAATACCATGTATATTTAAGTTATTGATATCTTCCTACCAAGACTATTCTTTTTAGATTTTCAACTTTTATTTAACATTTCTTAATTTCTACCTCTTATTAATTCTCTAGATTCATAAGCTTAATACAGAGCTTCAAAGCTCTTGAAAAAGGAGATAATTTCATTCCTAATGAAATCTAATCATTCTTTACATGAGAAATAAATAATTTGATGAAAGTTCTTCAGAAGATCTTTAAGAAATACTAAGAGCATTCTTGAATTCTGTGACTTATGTCTATATTAACTTAATATTTTTTTCTAACTTAATATCTATAAACATAAAGGAACTCAAGGAAAAAATACATAATACATATATATATATATACACACACACACACACACACTATATGTCCTATATATGTGTATATATATGTGTGTGTGTGTGTGTGTGTATATATGTATATGTGTGTATGTGTATATATATATATATGTATATATATAGTATAGCTCTTAACTGCTAAAAAGCAGAGTTCTGTCCTATAGAATAGAGCATGAGAATAGAAATTTGAATATGTAAAGAAGCATAAAAAATTAGCAGAATTGGGTTTGTATAAGTGTCAATAAAATCTTATTTGGGATTAAAGATGGTGTGAGAGGTGAGACAGAGGCTTCCTACTAAAATCACATATAATATGAAAGTATAATTAATACAACTAATCCTGAAAAGGCATCAGGAAAGAGGGCGGTGCCAAACTGCATACACCTGGAGAAAAGAATTAACCTCATGGAACAGGGCACTGTTCCAAAGCCATGGCCTGGCTAGACCCAAGCCCTTCCCCCACCCCAGCCCACCAGCGAGAGGAAGAGAAACGGACCAGGGAGTGAGTGGAGGCCTGGGACTGCTGAACACCTACTCTGGAGATCTGCTCTGGGAGCACAAACCTACATTTCATGGTGTTCTTGTGATTAGGGGGTTGGAAAGCTAAGACAGGCAGAATACCTGAAGAGACTGAGATTTCAGCCGCTTGTGGAAAGCAGGGATCCATATCTGGCTACTCTGGGACAAAAGAAAGGTGGGCAGTCTGAGACACTTCCTAATAGCAAGAGGGCTGCTAAAAGGGCAAGGATTGCACAGAGCTTACTGCTCAGGAGAAAGGACAGGTAGACAAAATTGTATGGGTGCACTCTGCCCAGCAGCTTGGGAACTTCCACAATCTTCAGGCACTCCAGCACCTGGCTGGCTACACAGCTCCTCCAAGGCCCCGCCCCCTTTATACATGGCCTGCTGTGCTTTCCTCCCAGCCAGCCCCACCTGGCTCGCAAACTGGCAAACACTATCCTAGTGTTAGGCCAGCCAAAGGGAAGCCCCACCTCCACTAGCTAAAAATGCAAAGAATAAAGGCTTATACCTGTGTGCTTGGCCCACTGGTTCTGGAAGTAGAGACAGGCTTAGCAGCCAGGAAGCAGAAAACAGCCCTTTTCTACCCCCAGGCAACAACACCGCTCCCCAGCAACCCCCAACGTTGCTCCAGGGGCTCACGAGCTCCAGATAATAGAGCTTCTGTGCACAAGAGGTGCCATATGCAAATATGAAATGTCAAAGGAACCTGGTTCAAAGCAAAATCATACATACACCAGAGAAAGAGTCAAATGAAACTGATCTCATGAATCTTCCTGAAAGAGATTTCAAAATAAAAATCATGAACATGGTCATGGAGTTACAGAAAAATATTCAATAACTCATGGAATGACTTCCAATAAGAGATCCAATCATTATGGAACACAGTACCAGAAATGAAACATACAATGGAAGGTTTTAAAGGCAGGTTTCATATGGTGGAGGAGACAATAAATGAAATAGAAATTAAAGAAGAGAAATACAAAGAAGCTGAGGCACAGAGAGAAAAAAGGATCTCTTAAGAATGAAAGAATATTGAGAAACTGTGTGACCAATCCAAATGGTAAAATATTCACATTATAAGGATACCAGAAGAAGAAGAAGAAAGAAAAAGGGATAGAAAGTGTCTTTGAGGAGGTAATTACTGAAAACTTCCCCAATCTGGGGAAGGAGGTAGTCTCTCAGGCCATGGAACTGCAAAGATCTCCCAATACAAGGGACCCAAGGAAGACAACACCAAGACATATAGTAATTAAAATGGCAAAGATCAAGGATAAGGACAGACTAGTAAAAGCAGCCAGAGAGAGAAATAAGATCACATACAAAGGAAGGCCCATCAGCCTATCATCAGACTTCTCAGCAGAAACCTTATAGGCCAGAAGGGAATGGCATGATATATTTAATGCAATGATGTAGAAGGGCCGTGAACCAAGAATACTTTATCTGCCAAGATTATCATTTAAGTTTGAAGGAGGGATTAAACAATTTCCAGATAAGCAAAAGCTGAGAGAATTTACCTCCCACAAACCGTCTCTACAGTGTACGTTGGAGGGACTGCTATAGATGGAAGTGTTCCTAACTTTAGTAGCTGTCGCCAGAGGTAATAAAACCACAGTAAAGAAAGTACAACAGTTAATTACTAAGCAAATGCAAAATCCAAAATCAAGGGATAGACAAAAAGTACAGTATATGATACCTAATATATAAAGAATGAAGGAGGGGGAAAAAAACAACCATTAGATTGTGTTTGTAACAGCATACTAAGTGAGTTAAGTTAGACTCTCAGAAAGTAATGAAGTTAACCTTGAACCTTTGGTAATCACAAATCTGAAGCCTCTAATGGCAACAAATACATACCAATCAATAATCACCCTAAATGTAAATTGTCTGAATGCACCAATCAAAAGACATAGAGACACTAAATGGATAAAAAAACAAAACCCATCTGTATGCTGCCTACAAGTGACTCATTTTAAACCCAAAGACATACACCGACTAAAAGTGAAGGGATGGAAAAAGATATTTCATGCAACTAATAGGGAGGAAAAAAGCAGTAGTTGCAGTACTTGTATCAGACAAAATAGACTTCAAAACAAAGAAAGTCACAAGAGACAAAGAAGGACATTACATAATGATAAAGGGGTAAATCCAACAAGAAGATATAACCATTATAAATGTCTGTGCACTCAACATAGCAGCACCTACATATGTGAAACAAATACTAACAGAATTTAAAGGGGATATAGAATGCAATGCATTCATTCTAGGAGACTTCAACACTCCACTCACTCCAAAGGTCAAATCAACCAGACAGAAAATAAGTAAGGAGACAGAGGCACTGAATAACACATTAGAACAGATGGACCTAACAGACATCTACAGGAACTCCACCCAAAAGCAGCAGAGTACACATTCTTCCCAAGTTCCAAAACTACTAGAACTAATATCTGAATTCAGTAACATTGCAGGATACAAAATTAATACACAGAAATCTGTTGCATTCCTATACACTAACGATGAACTAGCAGAAAGAGAAATCAGGAAAACAATTCCATTCACAATTGCATCAAAAAGAATAAAATACCTTGGAATAAACCTAACCAAGAAAGTGAAAGACCTATACTCTGAAAACTAAAAGACACTCATGAGAGAAATTAAAGATACCAATTAATGGAAATTCATCCCATGCTCATGGATAGGAAGAATTAATACTGTCAAAATGGCCATCCTGCCTAAAGCAATCTACAGGTTCAATGCAATTTCTGTCAAAATACCAACAGCATTTTTCAATGAACTAGAGCAAATCATTCTAAAATTCATATGGAACCGCACAAGACCCCAAATAGCCAAAGCAATCCTGAGAAGGAAAAATAAAGCTGGGGGGATTATGCTCTCCAACTTCAAGCTCTACTACAAAGCCACAGTCATCAAGATAATTTGGTACTGGCACAAGAACAGAGCCACAGACCAGTGGAACAGATTAGAGACTCCAGACATTAACCCAAACATATATGGTCAATTAATACTCAATAAAGGAGCCATGGACATACAATGGGGAAATGACAGCCTCTTCAACAGCTGGTGTTGGCAAAACTGGACAGCTACATGCAAGAGAATGAAACTGGATTGTTGTTTAACCCCATACACAAAAGTCAACTCAAAATGGATCAAAGACCTGAATGTAAGTCATGAAACCATAAAACTCTTAGAAAACAACAAGGGCAAAAATCTCCTGAATATAAACGTGAGCAACTTCTTCCTGAACGCATCTCCTCGAGAAAGGGGAAAAAAAGCAAAAATGAACATATGGGACTACCTCAAATTAAAAACTTTTGTATGGCAAAGGTCACCATCAAGAGAACAAAAAGGCATCCTACAGTATGGGAGAATATATTAGTAAACGACATATCTGACAAGGGATTAACATCCCAAATATATGAAGAACTCACATGCCTCAACACACAAAAAGCAAATAACCCTAATAAAAAATGCATGGAGGATATGAAGAGACAATTCTCCAAAGAAATTCAGATGGCCAACAGACACATGAAAAGTTTCTCCACATCACTAATCATCAGGGAAATGGAAATTAAAACCACAATGAGATATCACCTCACACCAGTAAGGATGGCCAGCATCAAAAACTTAAAACAAGTGCTGGTGTGTATGCAGAGATAGGGGAACCCTCCTGCACTGCTGGTGCGAATGTAAGCTAGTTCAACCATTATGGAAAGCAATATAGAGGTTCCTCACAATCTAAAAATAGAAACACCATTTGACCCAGGAATCCCACTCCTTGGAATTTATTCAAAGAATACAAGTTCTCAGATTCAAAAAGACATATGCATCCCTATGTTTATCACAGCACTATTTACAATAGCCATGATATGGAAGCAACCTAAGTGTCCATCAGTAGATGAATGGATAAAGAAGTGGTGGTACATATACATAATGGAATGCTATTCAGCCATAATAAAGAAACAAATCCTACCTTTTGCAACAGCATGGAAGAAGCTGGATGACATTATGCTCAGTGAAATAAGCCAGGCAGAGAAAGACAAGTGCCAATTGATTTCCCTTGTTTGTGGAGTATAACAATGAAGCGACATTGAAGGAACAAAACAGCAACAGGCTCACAGGCTCCAAGAAGGGACTAGTGCTTACCAAAGCAGAGGGGTGTTGGAGGGTGGGGAGGGTGGGAGGGAGATAGAGATTGGGGGACATTATGTTTAGTACACGTGGAGTGAGGAGTCACAGTGAAAACAGTGTAGCACAGAAAAGGCAAACAGTGAATCTGTGACATCTTACTACACTGATGGACAGTGACTGCAATGGGTTATGGTTGGGAACTTGATAATATGGGTAAATGTAGTAACCACATTGTTTTTTCATGTGAAACCTTCATAAGAGTGTATATCAATATTACCTTAATAAAAAATTAAAGAAAAACCCTTATTTATCCTTATAGCTAAAGAAAAAAAAACCTTATTTATCCTTATGGTTAAAGGAGAAAAAAACCTTATGGCTTAAAAAAATTAGAACTTGCTATTGCCAAGTTCTAAAACAAAAGTTTAAACTCTATGTGTGATTTTGTCTTTAAGTCTATTTTGTCTGTTATCAGTATAGCTTCTCCAGTTCTCTTTTGGTTACTGTTTGCATGAAACAATTTTTGCCATCCTTTTTCTTTCAACCTGTTCATGTCTTTCATTCTAAAAAGATTTCTTTTGAAGCAAAATATAATTGGTCAGTTTTTTTAATCCATCCTGCCAATCCCTGCCTTTTTATTGGAGTGTGTAAGCCATTTATAATTAATATAATTATGGATAAGGTAAGATTCACATCTGCCAATTTGCTATTTGTTGTCTATATGCTTTATGTGTTTTTTTACTGTTGGTGTATTCTCCCATTATTGCATTCTTTTGTGATAAATATATATTTCTAATGTACCATTTAAATTCCTTTGTTTCTCTTACTCCATATGTGTTTTTTAAGTTATTTTCTTAGTGATTGTCCTGAGCTATAATTAATGTTAATCTGAAACAATGTATTTTGATTAATGACAACCTGGTTTCAGTAATGTGAAAAAATTTGGCTCCAGTATAGCTCCATTCCTTTTCTTCTCCTTTTGGCTAATTTTGTCATATGTATTACATCTTTAAACATGATAAACCCATCTGTTTTTTAAGTATTACTTTATGCACTTGTAAATCACATATAAAAAAGGGTTTCAAACAAAATATATATGTGCTGCCTTTTTACCTATGTAGGTATCTTTATTGGTATTCTTTATTTCTTAATGTGGATTTGAGTTACTGTCTATTGTCTTTTCATTTCATCTTGAAGGATTTCTTTTAGTATTTCTTACAGTGCAGGGTGTGCTAACGACAAATGTTCTGCTTTAATTTATTTGGGAATGTATTAATTTCTCCTTCAGTTTTGAAGGATAGTTTTGTTACATATAGGATTCTTGATTGATAGTCTTTTTCTTTCAGCACATTTAATGTTGTTCAACTGCCTTCTGTCTTCCATAGTTTCTGACTAGAAACCAGCTTGTAATTCTATTAGGATTCCTGTGCTTGATGAATATTTTTTTCTTGCTGATTTCAAGATCCTCTGTCTTTCAGCAGCATGATTATGATGTTACTGGGTGTGGCTCTTTTGAATTTACCCTATTTGAAGTTGAGCTGCTTGCATTTGTACATTAATGTTTTTCTTAAAGTTTGGGTGGGTTTTGGTCATTATTTGTTCAATGATTCTCTTTATTGAAATTCTGTATTTGGTGAGGCATCATTTTCTCCTGTTTCGCTCTAATTCTTTAGACATGGTTTTCTTTTGTTCTTTGAAAAATTAATTATTGTTTTAATTTAACATTTAAATGTTGATTAAAAGTCTTTGTCTCATAAGGCCAGCATCCTTAGGAGTGGCTTCAGTTGACTGCTTTTTACCCTGTGCCTGGGCTCTACTTTCCTGTTCCTTCATATGTCTAATTTTTCATCAAAAACTGAACTTTTTTTTTTCTCTTTCTTTTTATTTATTTATTTTAATCTGGAGGAAAGATACTGAGGCAGGAGTAGTGAGATGTAGGCAGCCGTTAGAATTCATGGCCCCTGTTAAGGGGAAGGCAGGAGGGAAATCAAAAACTGAACATTTTATGTAAAATAATGTGACCACTCTGTATTGAGACATACAGACATCTCATTCCCCAGATCTTCCTTTTATAGGACCTCTTAGTTGACCCAACTGTTATCACTGCCTTGGCTAGCTATGATTTGAAACAATTGCTGTGGATTGTTTTCAGCAAACACCCTGAGAATGCTCTTAGTCAGGTCAAATAAAGACAATCTTTGTGAAAGGAAGTTTTCCAGAAAGGTGATCTACAAGTTAAATAGTGACAGTTCTCTGGGGCATGTATTTTTTTTGTAGAACTCCTAGCTTGCTCTGCCCCTTGCTGTTAGGCCTCTAATTATTGAGGTGGTGTTGAGCTGGGGAAGAGAAAATGGGAACAGAGCATGTTAAAATAATAAAACTCTTTGTTTATAATGAGGTTCAGCCATTTTTCCTGAAAAATATACTTACCAGTTGTTGTAAGCCTTTTTGCAATTTACAAAATTCTGAAAAAGTTGATTTTTCCAGTATAATTGTTGCTTTTATGGAGAGCAGAATTCCACAGGTCCTTAGTCTGCCGTTCTGGAAGTGAGAGTCCTCTACATGTGCCTTTAAACCTGCTTCCTATGTCATAGATGATGTTTTATTATGGGCTGAGAATTGGTTAAGACAGAAAGACAAGGAAAAAGAATGACTAACCAATTACCTTAATGAAGAATTGATGGCAATAAGTTAGAAATGTGCTAGATATATCAAGAATGGTGTTAGAATCAAAATTACATGTAGTATTTCAGGTTTGGTTCCATTCCTCCTGTTCGGTTTGAATTTCTAGAAGAGTCTTATAAAGCATACTTAAATAATTGAGGGGATTAATGGACTCATATACAAAGACAGGCTAAGATAATTCCAGAAAGAAAGAATGAGAAAACTCAGCCTAAATTTCATGAAACTACAAAGGATATGTTTTAGAGATATCAATCTTGAGACTTACTAGTAGAAATAATAGGCATCCTTAATGTTTGATAAAGGCTAATATAAGATAATAAAAGGAAATAATACTTTAAATATACTTTGGGTGAGACAGAAAGCCTGAAAGTTTAAGTACATTTTTGGATTATAGATCTATGAATGGTTTTAAAATTTTTAGTATTTCGTGGAGATACATTGAAAAGACTCCAGAAGCTATTATAACCTTTTCTGAAACATTCTTTGGTGCACCATCTGGGACTAAATGCTGTGTTAGTTGAATACTGATTTAAATCACTGCAGTATTTAAATTGTTAGGATGATCTGTATTTATAATTGTTCACGTAAAAATGTCTTATCTTTTTCTTTTAGGTATGTAAAAGAAGGAGATACAGTGTCTCAATTTGATAGCATCTGTGAAGTTCAAAGTGATAAAGCTTCTGTTACTATCACTAGTCGTTATGATGGAGTCATTAAAAAACTGTATTATAATCTAGACGATATTGCCTATGTGGGGAAGCCATTAGTAGACATAGAAACAGAAGCTTTAAAAGGTACTGTAAACGTGTTCCATCAATTTTGCCAAATTGATTACTGTGACCTTTTGTCATTGGATACTAATTAAATGTAATGTTTATTTTTAATAACTTACAGGATTTAATTTGAGGGTTTAGGAGCTGAAATCAGGAAAATAGAAAAGTCTTTTGATGCATGATCATCTTTTGACCAGTTACCATGTTAAAAACATGTAGAGTAGCACTTCATTTATCTGGAGGCCTGCCTTCTGGAAACCTTAGTGTTCAAAGAGTCAACAAGCTCTCTTAGGAATTAAAGATCCAGTCCTTGAACACTGGTCATTAATAACAAAAATTGGAATATGCAGAGATTAAATCTAACATCATGGGATTGCTGTGTTTGTTCCTGATGCAAAAACAAAAAAGCATTCTCATTGGTAATGGTTATGAAACCCAAACTTCTTGAAGAAAAATAGAAAAGAGGGAAAATCAGAATGAAGAGCAAAGAAAACTAGTATTCAGAAGCAGCAGCATCTATGGAATTTACAAGGAACAAATGTCCTGACAAAAGGAAATCCATTATGAGAATGTTACAGAGGAAAACTACAACAGTGGGCCATCTCAGTAGGGACATACAGCTGGCTCTCAGCCTCAGAAGTTCCTTGTGGCATTGTTGTGATACACAAAGGTTATGTTTTCTAGGAAAGAGGTTTGGTACCAGGGATGGGGGGAGCATAAGTTCTGTGATGCAGCCCTACACTCGCAATCTATCTGGGAAGTGCTAAGAGAAAGACATTTCAGTAGTATAATTCAGAAGTCTAGAAGAAGTCTGAATTGCAGTGACTGGCTGACTCTGAGTTCTGTAGTCTATGCAGTAATAATAACGATATCACAATCATACTTTACAGTATACAAAATGTTTCAGACTTATTTTATTTATCCTTATTTGTGAGGTATTCCAGTTGAACAGATGAAGAAATTAAACACAACCTGGAAAGTTGGTCAGTGACAGAGCCAAATATAGAACTTGGATGTCCTTAGTCCTTGTCCAGAGTATTTTCTACTATGACCTGTTTCCTCCAAAGTTTCCTCCAAACTAATCTGTTTGCCTAGTTACTAATCCACGTGTTTCATAACAATACATTTTCATTTTATCAATACATTTCATTTAATCAGACCATATTTAAAATTCCCCAGGTGCCCCCAAAATTTCCTTGCATTTCAATCGGTTTGCTCAAATTAGGATCCAATCAATACAGGACTGTACATTGTACATGGTCTCTTTTAATCTAGTTCATACTCCCTTGCATTTTAATGTGACACTCGTTAAAGATGCGATACCAGTTGTGCTGCAGAATGTTTCATCTTTTGGATTTGTCTTACTCTTCATGGTGGTGTTTGGCTTGTTCCTCTCGTACTTGTATTTCCTGTAACCTGACTGAGTTTTAAAGGCTAGGTTCAAGTTAAATGTTTTGGCTGAAATACATCATGGATGATATTATGTACTTCTTTTCTTTTGCTTCACATCAGGACATGCAACATCTGGATGACCTGCTCTAGGGATACTAAGTTTAAACACTGAATTAGGATTATGATACCCATACTCTCCACTGTACAGTTGTGTTTTTCCCTGAAAGTATCTTTGTGCTGTTATTTTGGCACTATGTAAGTATATAGAATATCAATGGAGGGTCCTTGCCTGAATCAACAATTGCTTTAGTGGTTGTGGAATGGTGATTTTTGGATTTTGTCATTCCTTTAACCTTAACTGGAAAGTGAAGCTTTCCCATCATCAGTTGAGGCTATTAGGTACTCTGAAATACAATTCCTATGGGAAAAAACAGAATACATGTTTGATTCTTTCCCCTTATCTATTCAAAAAGTAAGGAGTTGCTTTAGTTGCCACTTCAAATGATGATACTAATTTCCCAATTTTCTCTTTGTGTATATTTCAGTTGGCTCAATGTGCTTAATCTATTATGATCATTCTTTTTAATGGTCAAATTGAAACTTAGTGATAACTCTTTCAAAGTGGCTCCTATGTGTTCTATTAACAGAGCCCCATTAATTTTCAAAAGCCTCCTTGCTTTTGACACAGAAGTTGATCTGGAATTCACTTTGTACTTTTCCTCTTGACCTGAAATCATTCAGTTCTTTAGGGGCTTTAGTTCCTTTTAATGTAGAATGGATGAGACCATAATTTGGGTACTAGGAGTGCTTCTTATTATCTTGATTCCAAATTTCTATAGAGGGCATCATTTAGAAGCAAAAAAAGAATTCACCTTTTAAAGTTACGTGAAATAGAATTATTTTAATAAACCAATGACTTTTTTTTTTATTCAGTTAAGACCTAGAAAAGAAAGAGGGTTACACTCTTGGCACAGACTGAGACAGGCAAAGATGCTAAACACTGTTAGAGATGGCAGTAAGTCAGAATACCCAGTCAGGTACTGTAGACCAGATTAGGNAGTGAATTTCATCTTGATTCTCCATTTGTTGTTTGTTTTTTTAACCTGGAAAGAATACTATCAGTGTTTTCACATCAGCTAATCATTAGTTGGTCACTTTGGAAATGCTGAACAATTGTATTAAATATGAACAGGAAGTAACTGCTTGTGTTTATGATTTTTTTAAAAAAAACTATTCATCTGGAAGCTCGTTAGGGCTGAGAAACTGACCTGGAAAATAGGAAACCTGCTTTTACTCACACTGCCCAGCTAGAACCTGCTGAGATTAGACAGAGGGAGCAGCTAGGGTAATACCACTTTTGTGTCAGAAATCAGTAGGTGTTTAACAAGCCTGATTATGTTCTGAAAATAATCACACGCACTCCATTTCTGGCTTTTAGTGCTCGTCTCTTATCCTGGACCGCCTCACATTTTATGGTGAACGAGGAGGTAGTGCTCCTTGGCTTCAATAATGAACTCCCTCAAATCATGTCGGAAAGTCTGTTACAGGAGGGGTCTGACGATGTCACTCTGCTCTCCATCTTTAAACCCTGCCGAGGCTGGCACAGAGCACTTTCTAGGTCCCCTACGCCTGGACTCACTGTATGTCCTGATTTCTCACCTAGTAACTCTGAGTGGTATACTCAAAGGGGGTTCCTTACTGTTCAGTTTTATTTCAGGTGTCTTTAAAAATCAGGTCATTCCCTGTTTGTTGTTCTGTAACAAGTATAGGATGTGGGAGTCTTTTTTTTTTTGCCTCATCATATTAGGAATTCTGTGGTATGCTGCGTTTTGGCAGAATAACTAGGGACACTATAGAAGCAGCCAGGAAGAAAGAAAGAGATGAAAATGTACCCACCTCACTTCCTTTTCATGTTGGGACTGACCAGTCCCCTACTACTGTAGAGAGCTTTCTCTCTTGCTTGAAGATTTGGGAGTGGCTGCCTAGACATGTTTCCTGGATTCTTCTTTCTCTTCAAGGATCTAGGTTTTGAAATAGGGCTGATGTATAGGAAGCAAAACTGCAGATCTTTAGGTATTTGTAAATACCTCCTTGGGAGTAAAGATTCCTCAATTGTGGTTCATGTTGTTAAAAATGGTGGCATGTGTCCAATCACTATTTGGAAGGTAGATATTAATTATTAGAAAATGTTGACTGACTGTCCCTGCAGTGGTATTTAAGATACCTAAGGTCAAGTGACATTCACATATTTTGTTTTTAAATTCCCAGAATAATTCTAATAATACTCAGGATATTTACATAATTCTGTTTCAAATAAGGGCAGATCAAGAGATAGAAAATCAAGTATATTTGAAATACTTGATTTCAGAGAGGGTAGATGAGACAGATAAAGCTGGAAAGGAAGGCCAGGTACCTGTCAAGAAGCATGGGTTTGATGTGCTAGCAAAGTTGAATATTGTTTAGGTATTTGTGATTTACTATAAATGTAGTGACTTAAAACAACACATTTTTATCATCTTACATTTTTTTGGCTGGTCCTCTGCTCTGGGTCTCATAAAGCAGAAATTAAGGTGTTCACCAATTACATGTCCATCTGGAGGCTGTACTAGGGAAAGATGCATGCTCCCTTCCTTCAGTCTGTTGGCAGAATTCATTTCCCCTGGTTGTAGGACTGAGGTCCCCACTGCCTTGTTGGCTGTCAGACAGGGACCACTCTTGGAGGTGTCCCCCCATCTAAGCAGACAGCCTCCCTCACCTTATACTTAGGAATCTCTCTTTACCTTCCCTTGTTACCAGAAGAAAACTCTGCTTTTAAGGGTTTACATGATTAGGTCAGGACCTCCCAGATAATGTTCCCATCTGAAGGTCATCTGTGTCAAGTAGTATAAATAATCATGGGAATAAGACCCACTCTATCTACTGTCCCTGGCATTATGCAGTTGTATAATGGTGCATATGCAGGTGTATAATGGTGGTATGTATGAGGGGTCAGGAATCTTGGGGTCATTTTATAATTCTGCCTATCACAATAGGTGATGGGATTTCTGAGGGGCTTTACATAGGAGAGCTATTTGGCCATTTGTGTTTTTAAATATACTTCTAGTAAATAGTAACTGAAGAGGAAGAAACTTGAAACAGGTACACTATAGTCAGCTCTGTTACAATGAATCGAGCGAGAGATGCTGAGGAACAGCACCAAGACAGTGGCAGTGAGACCAGGGGAGAGAGCAGATTTTAAAGAACTATCCTGAAAACAAGCAGACTTGATTATTTGGATGCGTGTGTGTGTTGGCGGGGAGTAAGATGAGACAGTAACTCATAATGACTTCCAACTTTCTAGATGGAGTGGGTACATAGACACATGTAGAATACAAGAAGAAAAGTTGATGGGAGAAAGTAATGAACTTTATCCAAACCTGTACAATTTCAAATGCCTGGAACATGAAAGTAGCAGTCCACTATTACAAGTGGATATATGTCGGTCAGCATTTGTAAGAGAGGCCAAGCCAATAGGCTTTGTGGGAGCCATTATCTTTTACACTGATTAATTTTATGAGTGTGCAGATAGTCAGTGAATAAGTAAGAAAAAAAGAGTGTTTAATGGCAGAGCCCTGGGGAATGCTAACATTTAAAGTTGGGTGTAGGGAGCGCTTTGTCAAATCTTCCCTCCTCTCCACCCTCGGGTACTTCTGTTCACCCACCTCAGGCCCTTTTGACTGTACCCTCAGCCTATGAGCCAAGTGTGCCTGACCCCAGGGGGATATTAAGGTAGTAATTGTGGTTGAGTGAGTTTCCTTCAGATGGTTCAAAGGGAGAGTCTACCTGGAAAAGCATTCCCAGTGTCATTTCCAAACTCCACTAAAGCATTGCACTGTTGGGTGTAGAAAACAGGAAGCGGAGATTTTATGAAGTACCATCTATTGAGGAAAAATTAAGTGCTATCAGTCGTTGGAAGGGATTCTTATGCTTTCCCCCAGTTCATTGCTAGCTCTCCTTTTACTTCCTTAATTTGGCTTTTTGTGGTCTTGTACATTTGACTTTCAGTAACACAAAGTGGAGAAGCATAACATTACATTTCTGACGATGAATGACAGATCCCTGATTCCTTCACATGACTTAAGAAGACTTAGGAGTAGTTTTACATTAGTGTGCTATAGAACTGTGATTTTTAAGATACCATTATTAACTATAAACTGGAAAGAATGGGTGCTATTCAGAAAGTTCTCTTAAGACTTTTATCTTGAACTAGAAAAAATAAGCTCCTTATGCATAGCCTCCAGCAGGTTACCAGTTGGGGACACTGGTAACCTTGATCTTCATTCAAGAAATGCTCCTGCCCCAACCTAGGGCCTCCCCTTCCTCCGGTCCCGGCACAAGGCATCTAGAAGTGAATGCCTAGTGTGGGTCCCTCTCTCCATATAGAGAAGCGAAGGCTTCTTTTCCCTTCAGTTGCATTGGTTGTAGGCCAGCCAGTGCACTTTAAGCTTTCTATTTGTTTCTTCTAGAAGAGGTCACAGATTCCAAGTTGTGGGAGGTCTTTGTTAGAACACATAACGTCTCCAGCAATATAGTTAGCTTCCTGAAACTGTCGGTATGATTTCCCTTGCCAGAGGACTATTATGAATATTAATTTCCAGAAAAATGGAATTTAGAATTTAGGTCTTCCTATTGCTTCTGCCAAGACGGCCCTATTTTGTTAGTGTTGCCTAGTGACTGTTCCTGCTCTTTGGGTCCACGATATCTCTACAGATGGCAAATTAAAATGGCCAGATTAGATATTAATTCATGAAATGCTTTGATCAATGAGGGTTTCTTCTTGTTAACAAACAAGACATCTTTGCTGTATGGGATGTATTTGTTCAGTATGGCACACAGCTATGTTTAACTGGTGTGTACATTTGGAGTCACCTTCTAATAAGGGTGAAAGAAAATCCTATCCCTAAGTCATATTGACACTTTGGAATGTACCTCATTTTCCCCACTGCTGCTTATAGGAATGAGTGATGGTGTGCAGATGTAGAGCCGGCACAAGGAATTGGTTCTTATTATGGCATTTGGAAAACTGGAAAGAATAAAGGGGCTTGTTATTTCTTGTGGAATACCATGGTGACAGCAAATAACGTCATTAAAGAGCCACCAGATCCTTTAGGAAAATGCCACTAGACTGAGCTTGTAAGGTAAAGAACATTTGGAAATGATTACCCCAAGCAAAATGCTTCAGTTAAGGTCTCCAGTAATTCCTTTAGACAAAAAACAGTCCACAGTGTCATGATTTGCAACACTCCTTTCATAGCAACAATGGGCAACAATTCATTATCATGGGGGAAAACCCCACCAACACTGGAAATGTAATTTGTTTCAAAAATATATTTCATTTTAACTTGGGGCTTCAACTGGTTATACCTGCCATGTTCTAACAAGGATTAAAGATGTTTTACGTAAGTGTGCATGATCTAAGGAGAAGAAAGTAAATTTGTAGAAAGCAGAACCAAGAGAAAGTAAAAGAAGCCAGGAATGAGGTTAGTACATAAAACACATGTTCGGAGCTCTCTGGCAGGCACTGAGGAGGAAACCTTGATGCAGTCAAAACACCCCAGGTGTCCAAAGGAAGCACGTTTATTCCAGGTCCAATTGTTTGAGAGAACTGTTATCTTATTCCAAGAGTAGATCATGAATAGCCATCAGGAAGGGCTCAATCATTGTTATTTATCTCAGTCAAACCTTTACTGAACATTACATAATGATTTGTCAGCTGGGGATTGTGCTTCTTGTTAAGTATCCGAGATGTGTGGCTTTTTATGGTGTCAGTTTATCATGGAACTAAATTTTTAAGGGCAGAACTAGGAATGAAATGGGTCTCTCTCAAGAGAGGTGAGGGCTTGACAGCAACATGTTCACAGAGAAAGCATCACCTCCTTCTGCAAGGATGTGGGCCATGAACATCCCTGAGGGGGAAGGGAAGATTCACCTCAAATGTTTGGATCCAGGCCATTGTAGAGAGACAGTGGTGCTCCAGTCCACAACACTGCACTTTATAGAGCATGACTTCAGTG